GTGATAATTGTCTTCAGATAATGCATATCTAGTGAATTAGGGCCAGGTCAGCTTCCAGTGTAAGGAAAGTAAATTTCTGAAATGTTTCTGGCACCGTTTAGTAACCTTTGGAGTAGCCTGCAGTTTCTTTACTGCTTCTCAAGTGCTGACATGGAGCCATCATGAGTGTTATGCAGGGGAGAGCGAGAGCTGTCAGACTGAGAGGGCTAGAGATTTGCATTGTGGAGATGAAACGTTCTGAATAGGGAAGTTTGCAGAGATTTTATGTAAGAAAATGTCCCATACTTTGCTTTCTTTTGGAATTTTTCTTTTGAAAAATTTTGAGCTAGAAAGCTTACTATCAATATCATCTCATGTATTTTGGGCATATAGTCAATTTGAATGGAATCACAGTAATCTTATTTTAGAATTTTATTACTAAGCGTTAGCATGGATGATAATGCTTATTTTGCATAAGTGTAAAAATTAGGCAGTTTTACTCTGTATACTCTGTCTTAAATGCTGTTCATTTTTTTTATACAGCTGTGCAACCATATTGCTTCTGGGAAAAAATGTCAATATGTTGGAAACTGTTCCTTTGCGCATAGTCCTGAGGAGCGAGAAGTGTGGACTTACATGAAGGAGAATGGGAGTAAGTTGGTCTTTTAGCTGCCTCCTTGACATCTGCGAAAGCTGGTTCGCTTGAAAGCTCCCTTCCTCACTGTAAATACGCCAGCTCCCTGTGAACCCAGAAAGCAGTTTGCATTCTAAACAGTTGTACCCTGTTTCATCAGTATTTGTGTTGGAGACGATGGCTGGAAGATGTGACCACAGCCTCAGTGGAGCAGAATCCGACATCTGATCTGTGTTTGGTCAGGTCGGGTTTGGATGTGAATATATAGGTCTGGGTCCTTAAATGCAATAAATGTGTTCCTGAAAAATGTCTGGGAAAGTTCAGCTCTTTCATAATTGTTTAAGTCAGACTACCTGCTCCCATTGTAAATAGCTGCCCCCTGAATTAACTAGGTTAGAATTGGGGGTTTCTTCAAGGAGCCCTTACTAATAGAACAGGCCCCAATTCAGAGGCTCGGGGAGAGAATGTTTATCTTGGTCAAATTTCAAGTTTATTGTGGGAGTCTTTGAGAGGAGCCTCAGACAACCTTTCACTTTGACCGTAAAATGTTTTACTACAAGGATCATTGTTTTTTAATCTTTAAGTAAACTGATCTCTGCAATTCCTGGATTACAGGAACCAACCAGATTTAAGGCTGTCACCTGCTGTGTTTCAGCCACATACATAGAAAGTCAGCGAGTCGTGCGGGACTCCCTCTAGCTGTCTTGTTGGAAGTGAGGCCGTGCAGTCATGTCTTACTAAAGCCAAGTTTTGACCGGATTCTCATTACCAGTTTTTAGGACAGTGGTTCTTGAGTGGGTCCAAATTTTGCCATGCACCCTCCCTCACGCAATGTCTGGAAACATTTTCGTTGTCATAACTGGGGGACTGTGCTACTGGCATCTAGTGCTACTGGTCGCAGAGGCCAAGGGAGTCTGCTTAACACTCGACAATGCACGGGTCAGGCCCCAACAGCAAAGGATTATCCGGCTAGAATGTCAGCCGTGCTGAGGTTGAGAAACCCTGGCTTGAGCACCGGACAGTAATGCAGAATACACCTGTTCTTACCACAGGAAGCAACTGGCAGCCACTGCCCCGGACCTGGTCACGGTTGCGTTGCTGTCAGTAGCACTCCTGCATATTGGTCCTCTAGGGCTATGGCCTGACTGATGGACTCCCATCAGGTCAGAATCTTGGTCCAGTAGTAGTATATTTCTCATCTTTTGTCAGTAGGGGCGTATCAGCTCCAACCCCCCCAGCCACGTAAGTAGCCCGTGTGGTTCTGACTCTGACATTGAGCGTGGAACGCAGGGTGACATGAAGCAGTGCTGAGGCTTTTTTGGGCAATAACCTTATGATGGTTTCTGAGTTTTAAACACCCCAAAGTGTCTTGCAGATGCAGGGAGGAGTTAATTAATCTTGAAAACTAATGTTTGTGGTCTAACAGTCCTGAAATTGGTTCTTAAGCATGAGTTTATCTGCTGCTTGGACTAGATAGCTCTGTGTCTAATATCATCAGTCTCCTTCAGCCTTTGAAATTGTATGCTGACTGGTACAAAAAATGTGCATGATGTTGTGTGTATTTAAATGGTGTTTAGTTGCAGCTGCTGAAAGTAATTTATTTTTCTTTAGTACAAGATATGGAGCAATTTTATGAACTCTGGCTAAAGAGTCAAAAAAATGAAAAAAGTGATGATGTAGCCAGTCAGTCAAACAAGGAAAATGGAAAACAAATTCACATGCCAACAGATTATGCTGAAGTTACTGTAAGTACCACTGGTCACTTCACCTGGCCCTCTTGAGCTGTTGACAGCTTTTCTTTTCTTTCCCGCCTACTCCAAAACCTGGCTCCGTCACTCGCCGCCTGCCCTTCTCTGTTCTCTGGTGTCTTCATCTTCTCTCCAGTGGTTTCCTGCCGTTCACCTAAGTCTCTTCATGCTAAAAAATCCTTCCCTTGATCCTTTTTCCAAGTGCTAGTTTCTCTCTTGACCAGCCTGGGCAGATTATTTACATCTCCCAGCGGGGCTATCGTGACGGAGAAGTGAAGCATAATGAGTTTGTGACACTTTCCCTGGTGGGAGGCCACAGAAGATGCTCAGGAAACGTGGGCTGTCCACCCCCTCTCCTCACAGTCCCCCCTTGCTACCTGCAGTCTGGCCTCTCCCTCTGTGGTTCCATGAGGACGTTAAGTTGCCGGTGGTCTGTTAACTGTTTTGGTTTTCTTTTAAAATTTTCAAAAAAGTAAAGAGGATAACATGGATATCTTGAGCCCACCATCCCAAGTTAACTGATGTTAACAATTTGCTGTATTTGCTGCTGTAAAATAAATAAAATGTTACAGATAAAGTTGGAAGCCATTTGTTCCCCTTCCCAGAGGGACCAGATCCAGTGTATATTTTCCAGGCCATGTTTACCTATCGTTATAAATATGTATTTATTCTGAAACAATCTACAGTTCTGCCTGGTGTGCTTTTGAAGATTTGCATAAGCGAATGTGTTGTCCTGCTGCTTGTTTCTTGTTCTCTGTTTTTTTTAATTTAAATTTTATTTTTTTAAGCCAAATTTAGCAGTGGGGGGTCACATAGCGTTCTGTTTTTTGGCAAAACTCTGTTGGTTCAGTTGGATTCAGGTCCATTGCCCATTGCGGGGCACGTGCATGGCCTGGTCTTGCCCTCTGTCTCTCTGCTTCTGGTGTGCCCTGTGAATGCCACCTTTGTCAGGGCTCAGTGCTGATTCCAGTGCTACCTTTACTTCAGTGCTCCTTGGTGTTCCCAAAGCAGGGTCACCCTGACTTACTGGATCATGAGATTTACCTCATGTGTAATAATAAAGGTGTTTAGTAATATAAAGGTTCCTTGTTTACACTCCAGACTAAATGAGTCAGAATTTTTTTTTTTAGAGTCAGGGTCTCACTCTGTTGCCCAGGCTGGAGTACAGTGGCTCTTACCATAGCTCACTGCAGCCTAGACCTCCTGGGCTCAGGTGATCCTCCTGCCTCAGCCTACTGAGTAGCTGGGACTACAGGCGCCCATCACTATGCCCATCTAATTTTTCTATTTTTTGTAGAGATGGAGTCTTGCTATGTTGCCCAGGCTGGTCTTGAACTCCTGGCCTCAAGTGATCCTCCCACCTTGGCCTCCCAACTGCTGGGAATAATTTATTTTTATTAAGTGTTGCAGTTATTGCCCAGGACATTTGAGAAATACTATCCAGACACTTAAAGTTTGTATCTGGGTTGGTCCAAGTGCAGTGGTGTTTACACATAATTGATCACAACCAGTTACAGATTCCTTTGTTCCTTCTCCACTCCCACTGCTTCACTTGACCAGCCTTTAAAAAAAATAAAAAAATAAAGTTTGTATCTGTGGTAGCACTTAAATTCCACTGTAACAGGGTTGCTTTTGTGTGGGCTGTCCCCCGCTGGGGCAGCATCCCTACTTCCCTGCTGCCTGGCACAAGCCCGGCCTGTAGCAGGGGCTCAGTTCATGTGCATCGAATGCAGCTGCTGCTAGTCCCTCTGGAGTTGGCACGCCCTGGTCTTTAATAGCCTCGCTGCTCTTCCTTATGATGTTAATTATTCCCAGAATCCTAGTTTGAACCTGCCTCTTGTCCTCCCAACAAACATCCTTGTTTGCGTACCAGGTCCTATCACATCCTTGCCAGAGACTTCCTGGACACTTGGCAGAATGTGTCTCCCCTCGTCTCTGCTTCCTGCATGTCAGCTTGCCTCCCCACGCGGCCATCGTTTTCTTGCTGTTCCTGACTTTTGAGTTTCATGTCCTTGCCCAGCTCCCCCACCGCCCCGGGCTCCCTGGGAATAGAGTATGGGTCTCAGATCAGGTGACTGATGGGCACGTGTCCTTGCTGCACGTTAGGTGGACTTTCACTGCTGGATGTGCGGGAAGAACTGCAACAGTGAGAAGCAGTGGCAGGGCCACATCTCCTCCGAGAAGCACAAGGAGAAGGTTTTCCACACCGAGGACGACCAGTACTGCTGGCAGCACCGCTTCCCAACGGGGTGTTTCAGTATTTGCGATAGGTAGGTAGGTTTTAACATTTTTTCCACGCGAAAATTAGCAGCCTCAACTTTCCTGGGCATGATGTCGGTGGACAGAGAACGTCTGGGTGGTAAAGTTCGAATGCTGCTGTGCCCCCGTGGACCCTGAGAGAGTACTTGCGTTTTGGTTCAAAGTATTTAGCTGCCGATTAGGCATTTCTTCACTCTTCTGTGGTTGAATGAACAGATGTAACAGTCTTCCAA